CCCCCTCCCCCCCCCCCGTCCTCCAATCCCATCTTTGGTCGCCCCTGTGTGCATAGCATTTATTTAAGCAGGTCACTGTTTCTGCTTCCCTGCTGCTATTCTGATTTCTACCATAATGTCAGTTTGATTTTCACCCTTTCAGCGACTCAAGGATATCAAAATAAGAATGGAAAAAGGCAGTGTCGTATTGAAGAGTGGTCAGAAGATTAAGGTACCACACTTTCATTTTTCGCAACTGCCCCTGGTTAGGTTTAGAATTGTATATTTATAGGCAGCCCACTAAACGGCTGAACTTAAATTAAAACTGCAGTGAAATTATAAATTTAACGAAAATAATCACAAATTTAGCGAAATATAGTGCGAAATGTAGCTTATATTATTAAAATCTCAACCCGATTGCACTATCGAATATCGGCGAACTGACGTATAGTTCTTATAAAGCATACCTTATATACCTTATACTATATATACCTTATAAGTATACCTTATAACAGTTATAATGTATACTTTATAAGAACTATACGTCAGTTCGCCGATAGTGCAATCGGGTTGAGATTTTAATAATATAAGCTACATTTCGCAATATATTTCGCTAAATTTGTGATTATTTTCGTTAAATTTATAATTTCACTGCAGTTTTAATTTAAATTCAGCCGTTTAGTGGGCTGCCTATATGACATATTATAAATTTTCGTTCCAAAATTCCACCTACAAAAATCTCATCTATATTATATATTACTTGTTTTATTTATAGAAGATTTGCGAGGTACTTTTCACTTTCTTTATAAAACACAACCTAGTTTACTGGGGTTTTTTAATACTTTTAGAATAGTCGTTTTGTTGAATACAACAGTAAAATGATCCATGATGGTATCTTACAGTGGAAAAACGCAAGAGGAAAGCTTACAGGTATATAGAAACTTTATGATTTCTGTATTTCTGTATTATTAAAGTTCCTATAACACGAAATTTCACCCCAAAGGTTTACGGTTGCATTGTAAAGATCACTTAAAATGACTTAATAATTTCTTTTATAGAATTTTGGTAACTTGCTCCCTTTTCAAGATATTCAACTTTGTTTCATATGAAATATCACCGGTGTGACATCACATCACATAATGAGTTTTCAGAAAAGTGTAGTTTTTGACGAATACGTATCTAAAAAACTTAAAAATTGCCCTTGTATATGTATTAATTTCATAACTGGTAATTAACCCTCTGTATTTGTTTGTAAACATATTTTATCAAGGTAAAATATTGCGTTTTCAAAATGTCATTATGTGATGTGATGTCACACCGGGGATATTTGCATATGAAACAAAGTTGAATATCTTGCAAAGGAAGCAAGTTACCAAAATTCTATAAAATAAATTATTATGTCATTTTAAGTGATCTTTACAATGCAATCATAAACATTTGGGGTGAAATTTCGTGTCATAGGCACTTTAATGAGTTTTTAATGAAATATAAAATGCGGTTTCTCGTCGCTTTATCAGTTTTTGTTCAAAGCAACATCGATTAAATTGGTTTTAAAAATAGATTAAAACCTCATCCTAATAAATACAGTCAGTTTAGTTTAGGATTTCTCCTGCAGCAACACTGAACCGAGTCCGGGGTTGCACCCGGAGAAAACAACATCCACAACGTTATAGCTTCGCAACGTGTATAATCAGATACGACGAGCAGAAAATATTTAACAATATTATCTTTTCTTTAGAAACACATGTCGTTGTCTTGGAAAGTATGGTTGCATTCTTGCAAGAAAACGATAAGAAATTCAGTCTTCTCTCCATTGACGGAAAGGTGAGAATTTGGGGAATTTGGGTTGACGTCTATAAGGAAAAACACCATAGTGACTTGGAACAGTCCTGAGATTTTTTGCGCCTCCCCTGAAAAGTCATGCACCTCCCCTTGGGAATGGGAATGGAAGTAAAAACGTGACAAATCTCTTTGATGATGTACAGTCATAATTCACGAGTCCGTGCATACTTCACGTTGACTTTTTGGGGGCGGGGCTACACTCTAAGCCCCATGAGAGCCATGAGCTAGGATTGCTGCACCTCCCCTAAACAGCTTTCCACCTCCCCCAGCATTTCCACCAAAATCCTGCCTTGCTAGTTTTACTAACTATACTGTTTATTTATTATATATTTTTTATTTCTTATGTAGTCGCCGTGCATTGCTTTAAAAACATTGATGGTACGAGAAGTCGCGACCGGTACGTTTCTCTATCATCCATCCTGATTTCAAATTTCGTTCAATACTTCGTTCAAGTCTAGTCCTTTGTGGATAGCTTTAGGACCGATAGCCCAACAACAAGGATAATTTGGGACATCTAGCCAGCTCACCGGGAAACTCGCCTGAATGAGATTCGTATGTCTTTGTCAGTGATTATAATCATTATGTGTTCATATACATGAGAGACGAGCCAGTTATAACTTACTGTGGGTGGGATCTCACCTTACATGATCTGAGGTAGGATAGAATTTTCCATATGAATAATGCTTCATCAGCGCTGGAAAATGTTGTTTTCTTTGTGGGAACCTGGATTAAGAGCTCAAATAATGTACAAAAGACTACAATATACAGATAGTGTGGCGGATATGTGCATGGATGTTTCCGAAGAGGGTTAAAAGCACCAAATTGTGCACAGTAGCATCTTTTTATGAGTAGAACAACATGCAAAAGTGGGGCCATCGTGAAACTGTTTTTTTAAGAACGACAAAAAATGTGAAATTTTGAATTCAATCGCGACAAATATAACTTGCATCATCAGAAAACTTGTAAAAAACTACATAAAAGACTTTTAAAAACAGTTTTTTTTATTCTTCAAATGGTCATTGCTGTAAATTAGGCACATTATCTCGCTAAAAGTCCCTATATAATTAATTATTCGATGTTTGAAAATGCGTTTTTAATAGTTTATAATTCGAAAACTAATTCACAAATCAAAAAACTGTCTAAACGTCTTATATGCAGTTTTTTATAAGCTTTCTGATGATGCAAGTCATATTTGTTGGAATTGAATACAAAATTTCACATTTTTTTACTATAATAGAATTCAATAGAAGAAAATCACTAATCACCCGTTTTCAGGAGTTAGCAGCAAAATAGCGATGGCCCCACTTCAAATATCTATTAAGCAAATAAAACTACATCAATTGTAAAAGTTTGATGCTTTTAACCTCAACGGGAACTACTGATCAATAATTTTACACATATCCACCTCACTAAGAGAGAAGTAGCAAAATTGTCATTTATGACTGCAAAGCTCCCCGGTTTCTGTGGAAGTAAGATTCCCCTGGCACTCGGCCTATTAGCATGCTGACATGCATTTCTTGTGTAAATTTTGTGTAGATAAATGTGCTATATACTTCGTGAGTACAAGCAAGAAAGGGCCTGAAATGTACGAGTTTGTTTCCAGCAGTCAGAAGGAAAAACGACTGTAAGTAATGTACATTTATAATACAACAAGAAACGTTGTACAGTCGAACCCTGTGTTAAGCGGCACCATATTAAGACTTCACCCTTTGTTAAGCGCGGTCATGTGGCAAAGTACCGAATATTTCATAATATGAATACTATATTTAAGTGACCTTTATTGAACAGTCACCTCTGTTAAGCGGACGCGGTCAGCTTTTCCACAGTCCGAAAGTTAATTTTTCATTAAGTGCAAAGTAACTACAGCAAACATAATACAATATATAATTAAATCTTTATTCCCAATTATTCGGCAACATTTCAAAGTCTTTAAGTTTTGTTTGAATAAATTGCTTGAATAATAAATGGTTTCCCTTTGTTTCAGATGGTGTGCAATAATCACTGACGCAATCGCAAAAGCTCCTGAGGACACTGGTAATTCGATGCTTTATTTAATCTCAGAATCTAATTTGTGTAGGCTATTATGTAACAAAGGCATTATAAATTTCAGGT